TCGGAAATTTTTAACAGTATGGTAAGTCCCTGTTCTGCTACAAAATGTTGCAGGCTTTTACCGATCCGTACATGGAATCCTTTTGAAAATGGAGAATTTTATAAGTTTGCTATTACTTTCGTCTTACAGCATGTAAGCATAATAATAGTAACCTTTACATGTCTATCAACGTTATTTTTAACTATTTACGGTGTTTGTTATGTTGCCTTCGAATTTAAGTCATTGGGTAAGTAAAAAATCGTTTATAAAATTTATAAGAACACATATATTACACAGTGAGGACATTTTAAATTTAAAGGTTTGTTTTTTGGAAAAACGCTCGGATACGTCGATCTTTATTTTTGACTGCGGGTTTTTTTCATGGTAAATTCATTTATATAGGGTGGCCGAAAAATAAGCGACTACCACCGATTTTATTTATTCAAATGGAGGCTAACGACGTTATTTTTTATTACAGTTTTGAATTCTATATAGAATTTTAACTATGCGAGCGTTTTTTCCCAAAAAGCAAACCCCTGTTCCAACCGACGCGTCAAATAATAACTAACCTGCATTGATTGTATTCTTTTTTATAATAATAATATCCACTTTTTAATCAATTTCTAGCATTCGATTACAATAACTGCATCTTTGAAACGTTGTACAAGCATGGTATACCAAGGCACTTAGTTCTTCGGTTCAGAAAGTGTTTCATTGACAACAACGTTTATCATCAAATTGGAAAGTAATTTAAACTCTTGTGACTAAAATCGACTTTCTTTCTACATGAATGATATCTTTCAGGTACGATATTACAATGAGAAACATTGCTTTACAGCTGAAGAAAGAACAAGTCGATAAAGAGCTTGTGAGGAATTTAAAAAAATACATTAAAAGACACCAAAGTCTTGTACAACTCAGTAAGGATTTGGAAGACTTAATAATACCTCTGCAACTTGTCTTCATATTTTTTATGATTATCGTTTTAATAATTACCATGTACAAAACTTTGTTGGTATATAACTTTTTTCTTATTTTTGCACCAATTCACTGCCAAAATTTATAATTTTTCCACTTACCTATACACTTTATTTGATACAAATTGAAGGATTGGCAGAAGCTTGTCAACAACCCTTATTGGCTCTGATTATTTTTACTCATATTACTTAAAATTACTAGCAATTCGCGAACATACTTAAGTTCTTGATCTGCATTCGACCTTGTTAACTATTTTAAATTTTAAATAGTAATTATTTAATTACTAATTAGGTGTTCGAATGTTTAAGCATGGAATCTAAAATAACATATTTTAACAAAACGAGCCCCCTCCACTTTCAGAAATTGGTATTCGAAGAACAAAAATGCAAGTGCCATATGAACGTGAAATATTTTTTATTTGTTTAATATCTTTAGCACCTTTTCATTAAAATAAATATCCATTAGATTAATAAATGAAACCGATGACTAAGGTATATAACAACAAAAAATGTGAAAAAACGTAATATTAACATCAAGATAGTTTTAATTGTTTATCACTAGGTAATATGGCATTCTACATTTCCTGAGGCTTTTGTTTCAGTTCATGTATTTTTCTAACAGGACATGAAACATAATGCTTTGCTAAGAGAATGCTTTATTATTTGCTAAGAACTTTAAAACCAGGCAATATGGTTGGTGTCTTACATTGCCCATTATTAGATATGCCCTGATGAAAATTAATTTTAAATTACAAGAACAAAGATTACGTTAGGTGACCAACTAGGAAGGGGCTGGTGCTTTGTACGGCGTATTTGTTGAAGATTAGTAAAAGGATTTTTAGATATTTTCAGTTAAATAATGCTTTCATTTCTCTTTTTAAAATAATTTAGTCCTTTAACGACGAATTATTTGCAGGTAAATATTATGTTTCAGGTTCCTGAATTTCAAATAATACAAACAGTCATTTCTGTTGCTATATTCGTTTCAAACTGTTTTGTCGTCGGAGAATTAATAAAGACAATGGTTATTACAAAGGAAATTTAGGTAAACTGTAATCAGTTATTAAAGAGTATTGTTTTAGAGTAACAAAATAGAGACTGCTGTTTATAGCACTCCGTGGTATTTATGTAGTGTACGAACACAAAAGATGTTCTTTACTATTTTGCAACTTAGCCAAAGAACCGCGTCCATCAAAATTATTTGGTACAAATTGGATCTTGAAAACTTAATTAAGGTATATGGTTACAATACATCGACGCGTCTTTCATAATTTCGTTAATTTTATTTGTTGCAGATATTTGGAAATGTTTTTTCTCTTCTGGCCACGATGCGATCTATGTTTCTAAAATATAAACAATAAACTACAGTGAAATATTTTAATGTTTGTAACGTAGGTTACTTGTAACTTATAAATAAACCAACTGATCCATAAAACAACCGACCTGATGTTTTCTGATTATGAAATCAATTAAAAAGTGAACTGAGTGTGTATCCGAACCCTGACCATGATCTGCTAAGCGTGACAGAACGTTTAGCAAGACCAAGATCAAAACCAAGACTAAGATCAAGATCCTCGCAACATTCTCACCTATAATCAATTCAATACAGTTACAAAATAAAATAAATAAATAGTGTTTCGTGTTGTCGTGTTTTTTCATTTCTTATTCGAAGGGCCACCCTAACTATTAGGGAAACGATATTATTATTACGATAAAACCACCAACATTATCTTATCAAAAACTGAACTGAAAGCATTATTCTGCTAAACAACTTAACATAAACTTCTCTTAATTCTAATAGAGTAGCAATACACATCATGTCCTTTCAACGTGTCGAGGCGAGTCCTTTCGCTCTTTGCGATAAGACGCATTATCCTTTCCCTCTTCTGGTTGCGCTACGTTGCCCCGTCAACATGCCGCATCAATAAATACGATTGATTTAAAATCGCAACACATATACACATTTTCAATTTTCCTGATCAGTTAGGATAACTCTTGAAAAAACAAGAACTGATAGAAAGAGAACGTGAAGACCAATATGTAATGTCGAAAAGAAAGACCAATACTATATTATAATTTTTTTTGCTTTGGTCTTACGTTTGCTCATTACTAAACAATACCTAAGTACTCTACCTGGTTGTTTCCAACGCCCTTGGAAAGTACATCCTTATAATTATACTGCTCAGAGATATTCCAATGAATGATTCTTGAAATGTTTATACAATACGTTTTACCCGCGGTTTCGCTCGCGTTGATGTCCGAAATGCGTATCAAAGGTCATCGACGATCACATCATCATTATAAGGTCGTCAGTCCTAAGACTGGCTGGACACGCACCACCACTCTTTTCTATCCTGAGCTAATCTTCGCATTTCCCTAAAACTAGAATAAGCTACATCCTTAACTATTTGCTAACAGTAATCTAATCACATAAAACATATCCTTCGGGAAGAGAATTTTTTTTGATAGAAGGTATTCTAAGTCCTTATCTGTACCCCTGACAGTGTGTATAAAATTTCATTATAAATTTTACCAGCAGCTTCGCTCGCGTTGATGTCCTATATACGTGTTATAGCTCATTGATGATCACATAAAACTAATTCTTTCTATCCCTCGAAAACAGCATTTTTTTCTGCATAAATGGTCATCATCATCATAAGGTCGTCAGTCCTAAGACTGGTTGGACACGTACCTCCACTCTTTCTTATCCTGACCAAAATTCTCTAAAACTAGAACAGTCCACATCCTTAACTATTTGCGAACAGTAATCTAATCTAGGTCTACCTCTACCCCTCCTAACTCCTGTTTCTGCCTCTAATATGTCTCTGACTAGACCTTCATGCCTAAGAAGATGTCCTACCAACCTATCTCGCCTATTTTTTATTGACTTCCATAGAATCCTCTGTTCTCCTATTCTTTCCAATACCTCTTCATTTCTAACCTTTTCTACCCACGATATCCTCATCATCCGCCTATAACACCACATTTCGAACGCTTCTAACCTTTTCTTTTCCGCCGCGCCCACTGTCCATGTTTCGTACTCATACAACGCCGTGCTACAAACATACACCTTTAGCAACCTTTTTCGAATTTCTAAATTAACCGTTCGCCAGCATAGAAGTGACTTCTTTTTATTGAAGGCGACTCGACCCTGCGCTATCCTCTGCTTTATATCCTACTACTCCTTCCATCCTGACTTATCTGACTTCCTAGGTATCTAAAATTAGCCACTTCTTCTAATTTTTCGTCTCCTATCTTTATATTTGCTCTTTCCCTACTTTTTCTTCCCTTGCATATCAGTATTTTAGTTTTACTTTTATTTATTTTCATACAGTACTGATCTGTCAGTACGGCTTCCATTTTATTTAAAGCTATCTCTAGGTCCTCCTTGCTAGATGCTAATACTGCTATATCAAAAACAAAGGTACCCTACATTTTTTCTGTACCCCTAACAATGTATGTATGGTTTCTTGATGATCGTTAAGGCGTTAAATGGTAGCAAACATACAAAATCACATTCGCATTTACAATTCTAACTAATATTTAGTTAGGATTACGAATTATTGAGACAAAATATCCAATAAAGAAATATAAATAATAATTATCGAAAAAAATTTTTCTCTAGCTATAAGGTACCGTTATCAAAATTAATTGTTATATAATAAAATACCTAAAAATATTAATCGATTAGGTCATTATGCTATTTTAAGAAATCATACCTTCACAAAAATTATTGGTTGGCTAGCGTTATGACAAGGGTTCAACTGTTTCATAGAAATACAAGTAATTACACGAAACAATAAGTATCTAGTATTGGATTTGTTTCGTAAGTCTCTGATACGGAAAACCACAAAAAATGCCTGCGTCTAAGCAATTGAAGTTCGACATCGTTGACCGCGACCTTTAACAGGTATTTCAATATTTTTTAGTTCAATTACTTTTCTCCCGAAAAAAATGGCAGAGCAATCACATGAATCTCAGGAATTTGCAATTGTCATTTAAAAGATCGAACGTTCACTGGTACCCGCGTTAGTGTTTGTTATCATGTCTCAAGTGTGGGTTCCACCGAATTTGCAAAATGTGTGCCCGGCCCAAGCAGCAGTGGCAACATGTTCACCCAACAGTTTGATGTTCTTGCAACTGGTAACGAGCCTGTTTGGTCAATCCAGGGACATTACCCCACAGAATGCATCAGCAGGTCCTGCTCCCGGCGGCAATATCTTTCAGTTTATGGGGACCGGTCTTCCTGGAGGATCTGGTGCACCAGGTCAACCGGCTGGTAACGAGCAGTTCGATTTTATCGTTGTTGGAGCAGGAAGTGCAGGATGTGTAGTGGCCAATAGACTCTCAGAAAATACAGGATGGAGGGTAAATAACCCCTATAGAACTGGTTTTACTCTTTAAGCACGTTCTACTTATTTGCTGCACCATTTGAAGAAAGAACTCCATTATCTTAAACGAATTCCCAACGATAAGCACTTCCCCATCGTTCAAAAAATTTATTCCAATTTAAAGCAAAACGCTGCAGTACAAAGTCACTTTAGTAATTAAAAATTTTAAAATTTTAGTTAATGAAGTAAATTACATTTTAGAATAGGAGACGAGCACTTATTGCAATTCATTAGCATTTAAAATTATCTGGGTACATTAGGTGGTATTTTTCGTAGTAGGTAGTCATATATGATTTCAATACGAAGCGGTTTTCTGAAGAATCAATATTCTTAATTCTATCAATATTATGAAACTTTAGATTTGACAGTAGTATCATTCTAAGTCCAGAGTGTAATCGTATACATAATCAAACATAACAAATTTAATGGAGATGGACGGCATATATTTATATAAAGATACCGAATTCTAACGAATAGGTATTGAAATAAATTAGCAGATCGCGAATAGACGCCGAATTTCGGCATGGATTAATTTAAAATTTGGTAGAACGCCATCTGTTTAATTCGCTTTTTGTCAGATGCCGAGTTTCTTTCATACACATTAACGAAAGGTAAGGGTAATCGCACGAAGAGCTAAACTATGCCTACAAAAGGTTCTTTTCTAAGAAGAAAAGGAGTTTAATTTCCTTTGTTTGATTTTGATTTTTTCTGTTTAAAATAATTGATTGATGATGAGCAACAGGTACAAGCTGCATTTCCATGCTTAAATAAATAATTATAAAACACATAAGTACAAAAAGGTGTAAATGAGCGAATTGTGTCGCTCGAGAATTACTAAATAAATTTTCATTTATTGATGGTAAGTAGCTTTTGTTTTCTATGTCAAAGCTGGATAAGTGACTGTTCTATGATATCGAATATCATTTATATAAAGCCATTATTTTATGATTAATTGCGGAAAAATGTAATTAAACGAACGATATAAAATAATTCATCTTAAGCTACCGAAGGCTGCTTTCATCAAAGAAAATTGAGAAAATATGTTTGAGACATCAAGCTTCTAACGGAAGACGTTTTATTAAGCATTCTTTTGAACCTGAAAATTCTCGTTATGTTTCGAAGATTCTCTTGTGTACACACAATCTTTCATATTTTTATTGACAGTAGCGTGCTTTAATAAAAAACAACATTCTAAATTAAAATATCTTCTTTGATTTACCAATTAAACAATATCTTCAAAATTCTTCGCTGAGAAGTTGATATTTGAAATTTTTTATAACAAAAGAAGGGGAATGACATTCGAATCGTATTGTGCCGTAAGTGTGCACAATATAAAAAAAATTTCTGTGTGTTGTCATTAAGGCAGGCAAAAAATTAAAAAAGGTAGTGATTTGGTCAGGAATCGAATTGCGCAGTCTACTTGACAGGCAAGCATTCTCTATAAATTGAAAAACATGGTTGGTTTCAATACCCGAGTCGAAATATAGGTACTTGTAAGGTTCTTTTAAGTCTTGATATTTAAGTATCAGAAATTATCTATTATTTATAAAAGATCAAAAAGTATTTCATAAGTACTATATACTATAGATTTTAAGTCCTTTAATAAGTCCTGAACTATGCTGTATATTTCCGTTTTCAGCCAATTCAGTACTTATTTAGGATTATTAAAAAAAATATTTGGGTCCTGGTTTTGTACTTTTTTAGTATTAATAATGAAATTGGGTAAATGGAGAGAATTTGTTCATTAATTGCAAGTAAAAAAAAATGATAAGTCCACATTTTGATACAGTAAAGTAGAAAAATTTTTATCCAACTGTGAATTATAAGTTTTCGTAAGTAAATGTAATTACTCAAAGGCGCTCAAAAGAAAAATAATTATTGAGGAAAACTTAAAATTTACAGTTAAAGCGAAATATTCTTACTTAATTACAAGCTCA